CACATTGATTTGTTTTTTTTCCATTCTGACTCTAAGTGTAAATCATTCTTTATTGTAAGGATTTCCACGCAAAAATCTGAAACCTGGATTTTTGGGTAAAACAAGGTAAATGTTTAGATAGAAAACATCCATTTCAATCAGAGCCCATACCATAGTCATGATTGATAAATAAATAAATAAAACGGTTTAGGTTGCTATTCAAATACGGTGTCTTTAATCTACATTTTGACAAATAAAATGAAGCTTCGTTTACGTAATTCACATTTGAGAGCACATATATGGAAACGACTTGACAAACGGATTACCGGATACACATATCTGACAAACGGGAACGAGTGCGTGAACGGTCGTGTGTTAATGGAAACTTTCTCCTGTCGTACACTGAAATTTGTTCTTGGTATCAACTTTGTTGATGATAAACACACCTAAAGAAAACACGGAATAGAAATTCATTACAGTGCTTCATCTTAACTCATCTTGGATTGACTTAGTGACACAGAAAAAAGAACCCGTTGCCCAATAATGCGCATCAGTCAACGTCTCAGTTATTTCCACAGAACTGAGAACCCTAAATACTAAGGGTTTTGTACAAAGATCCGATGACCAGATGTTCCGGGTTATTTAAAGAAGTCCATTTCGCTTTATATATATATATATATTGTTTTTGCCCAAACAGTCACCTTCTTCATGATTTGAAAATTGGTTCAACAAAGTGGCAAATTACTGCTTGTGTATGTGGTTTGTCTGTCATTGGATGTAAATCTAGAAATATAATGTGGTATTTGTACACTGGATGTCACGGTCTGAACGAAATAAAGAAAAATGTGAACATTCTTGCGAAGAAAGTCTGGATGGCCGTTGTGCAATGTAATGGCATAATGATTATTGCGAGAGAAAAACCAAAGAACTGTACAATAGAATCCATTAATCACTATCAAATTCCAGCCACTTGTGTCGCGGTCGGAACGCAATGAAAATTGGTCGATTTCCGGTTGTCGCATTGTGTGAAGTGATTCTTCTCGTCTAGCCGTATGGGTCGGCAGCCATGACTTTTGAACTCGGCAACTTGTGTCGCGTCCAGAACACCCGTTGTTCCGGTCGATGTGGCAGCTGATCCAACCACGGTTGGATTCGATGTCGGGTTTTGCAAGACACTACACAGTGGTCGGACATTTCTGACCAGTGTATTGTGTTCGAGAAACAGAGTGTCCACATTAGATGGACTGTTGACTCCACCGTTGCCGAATAGAGGCAGTTTTATTCGAGCACCATCTTCCGCTTCTTTGCTCGCCTTGGGTAACAAACGTACTTTGGATGAGCATCGTTGAGGTGGCGTGAACCAATGAGGTAAACCGTAAGATGGCAACAGACGCACTCCAACAGACGTCTGACTAGCTGTGCGGGAATTTGTGGACGGCATGTAGACAGGCAGGGGCATAAATGAGCATTCGGGTTCGGTGGAAAATGGCAGGGTTACGGAACGATGCATCACGCCGGACGGATCGTCTGTGGAGCATCCATTTGAAGAGAAACTGCAAGATGACCGCATGGCGGTGTTCGGATTTGTCCACAAATTATTTGACGATTCCAGAGGGAGTGTGACGTCTCTCGGTGGCTGTGTGCGTGTACATCAAAAACACAAATCGATGAAAATGTATGTTAAGAACATCAGTAGCCGATTGATCGTGAAAGGAGATTATCTTTCATAAAGCCAACTCAATAGGCAACATATCATAAAACGACAGCGGACGATGGGGCTTTTCTTGACGTTTTCAATCGATTTTCGTTCATAAAACACATCATGCACATGTTCTAACCCGTGAAAGGAAATAATGGTAGTTTTATGTGAGTAATGGTGGATTTGATTCAATTTCAAAGGAGTGTTTGTCGCGTATAGAGTAAATGAAGCGTGAACTAAAAAGCTAGGAAGCACTAGTGTACAGCTGTTTCCACCAAGTTGGGTTTTATCAGTAGTACGAATCCATCGACCCAACTGGGGATCGAACCTGGGACCTCCTGGGCAGAACGCAAGCATACTACTCACTCAACCACCGGACAGCTGATCAGACCGTTTTTCAATTTTCATTTACACGAAACAGCACAACCCATCTTTGCGAGCTTGTTGCGGGCCACGGACCTCGAGCAGCGCCAGCCTCCCAAGGGTTGCGACTCGTTTGGAAACTTTCAAAACCGGACATGACAAATTCTCCTTAGTCATTTGTCTCTGTTTACCTTGTTGATTGCCAAAAGTGGGTAGTTCCCGACTGGAAATATGAATAAAAATCTCTAGGACTTTATACAAATATTTGCCCAATCATTATAGCACTTCATTGACAAGATTTTCTGTTGTATGAAAGCTGTAACGTCCCCCGTAGTCATGGAATGTTAGCAAACTAGTTGCTGGTAAAATCTAGATGACATAGTCTGGGAAATTTCAACGGCGATTTAACAGGAAAACACGAGACGTGTAACAATCGATAACAACAAATTGAAACAATCCTGGTAAAATAAGTTGAATTATTTCTTATGCACATGTTTGGTGGATCATTCAGTCCTGCTGTGTTGAGTGACAGTATGCCTATTCGACATGCCTATTTCGCAAATAACAGTTGATGCTCAAAACGTTCTCGTCGTTGAAAAGCCGACGTTTGGATAATAATCATCATCGAATTTCTACAAGATATAGTCGCCAGCAATAAGCAAAATCAGATGCATAGATATTTCCGACTTTCACATTCTCTATGATATCCATCGATGGGTTGAAATCATGTATGCAGTTCAGGACCCCAGTCACATTAGATCTCAATCGGAAACTGAGTATGGTTCTACTGAATCGGAGTTAGGTTCATTAACCTTTGATTATCTGAAAATTTGACAGTCCTCTTTTACTACTACTACGGCCAAAATGAGTAGACCTGTCATTCCGTATTTACATATTTATTTACCCCCAAATCTATCAATAGCACTAACTAACCAAACCAGTACGCACTACCTTATCAAAGACGGTCATTATTCCTTAAAGATGAAAGTTCAACAGAATCCGACACGGTTCTCACCTCGTTCGTGTCAGCCAATCCGGGATAGACACTGTTTGTCATGGGCGAGGCAGCCCAGTAACGTAACGGTGCATTGGGGATGTACTGTTGTTGACTGGTCACCGGGTTGACCAGTGTAGTCTCACCGCCCAACTGAACAGACAACGAGGCAAAATGACACGATTTGGAATTGGTGACGGAACAGCCGGATGATTTGCGCTGACCTAATCCGCCGCCGGGGTTGGTGCTGTTGTTTGCAATCGGACTGATCCAAGAGACCGGTCGACATGTGGCGGCGGCAAATCCCGGGTCCCGTGTTCGGATCATTTTGAATGAGCCGTTCGCGGAATTGTTTAGACCATGTGTCCGGGGCGAGGGGGAATGGTATGGGGATTGGGCCACTTCCGTTTTCGCTGAAGACAGAATAGATTAGTACAGGAAGTGTTCAAGTTCCGTTTTTGCAAACATTTGCAATTCGGTTGTGTGATAATATTATCAGAGGTAGCCGATTTGAATGATGGGTTAAACAGGTCAGTAGTGCACTACGGTACAAATTTACAAAACGCTCTATTTACACCAATATGTGTCCGGCAATTCAGTCTCGGATGGAATGATAGTCTGAAAATATCATGCTTATATGATTTTCATAAATGCGTCCAGCTTCAAACAAAGAGCAGTATGAATGACTGTTCTATGCACGCATGATTTAACTTCACAAAGATTGCACTTGCATTTCGTCATTCATTGTTCCGTTTTATTTCCCGTGAACTCACCACTTAGCAGATTCATCGCCTCCTGCTAACTTGAACAAAGAACGCATACAGCCATCATTTATATTTACCGATTGCTTCTTTTTGTGGATTGTGTGATTCGAACTTAAATCATGACTTGTGCGTTATTTTTACACCAAAAACAAAAGTATTCGCTTGAGATGAAAAAGTTAAATGTAATGTGCGCGTTCGCCTGTGATCTTCCCTGAATACGAGCAGAGAGAACAAAATAAATCGACTGTAAAAAATAAATAATGATAACTAATCTATTTCGCCTGTTCGCCAAGCAGTTAGCAATTTGTTTGCAAACGTTTAATCACCAGCCGAGGTGACATCATCAATGCTTGTGAAGTGGTAGTCTTCTGCTTGAACCCGTTTGTTTATATATGTGCTGTTCTCTACTGACCATTTCTGTGCCTTGTTCTCATTGTGTTTGACTCAGTTTGCCGTTAAACCAGTGAATGGGGATGAGGCTGGTAGGGTAAATGGTTGTCCCTCCGTCCTGATTGCGATTTCGGTCCGTTCTCAGGTCACGGCGTAACCCGTTTTGTTGCGTCATTTGGTCCTTGAGTTGCATTGGCGTGTACACGTGATCCGTCCAGTTCGACGTGCCTGTTTATTGAGTACCAAGCTTCCAGAAATTCTCTGGCGTGTTTTGACTGGGCTTGATCGATAATTTTCACTGAGTCGAAGTCAAATTGATGTCCTTCTTGATCTTCGTGGAGGTAAATCAAAGATAGTGGGTCATGTCTCCTGACTGTCGATTGGTATTCACGGATTCTTGTTGACAGTTTTCTCCCAGTTTGTCCGATATCGTGTTTTCAGCAGTTCTAGTCTATTTGTTGGCAAAAATACCATATAATCACTTCGCGTGCAGTATCCCTAAATTTCTGTTGGTTGTTGTCCCCTGATACATGGATCTTTATCGAGCACATAAGATGCCGTTTGGCAGTCATGATTCTGCATAAATATTCCTAACTGAGTGATCGAAAGAAGACAAGTTATCAAACAAGCTCGTGTTCGGTGCTACACCAATGGGCGCTGTGTATAACAGGTTAAGCAGTTGGTGGGAGGGGACACATTATCGAAGAAATCATAGTTTGTAAAAAGATGCCAAAAAGTTTGATATAAATTGTGATGTATTAGCCTGTAGAAGAATCACCGCAAACGAGCTTGTTCGCTACTTTGTGTTTTCTCACAATGGTTATGGATGGTATATTCGGACAGATGATGTAATTGTGATAATTGGTGTGAAAAGTAGATGACGGAAGGTGCTTTTAAATGGGTGAGTGAGCGAATGTATGAGACTTCATGATCGACGGTTACGTCACCAGATTGTAAGTGGACGACCAGTGGACGACGATCAGTGTTCTTACAAACCGCTTCTGGGAGCATAAACGAGGGCGGGGGCGGGTTGGAGACGGGTGACGATTGCAACGACTGTTGACAGAATTCAGAACTTGACTTCTTTGGATAACCTGCCGTTGATCGAATCAAGAGAAAGAAAAACCTCAAGTTCATTGACTGTGTGTTTAGACTCATCATGAGAACACAAAAATCGTGTTCTGTCGGGCTACCTCAGCAGGACTATGCACACAGTCAAATGGTTCGGCACTACCGTCGCTCCTACCCTTCTTGTCAATTCCTGATCCAACCAGGTGGGAGGGGTACATCTTGATGCTTTCGGATATACATCTCACCGTTCCACCCATACAACTCGCTCCACAGGAGCAGATGAATGGATGACGAGCTTGTTGGCTAACCTGTATTCTCATAACTCATCATTCTACTTGAGAGTGTCTCGCACTTGTTAGGTTACAAAAACGATCAACGTTCTAATCAGCACACTCTTGTTATTCGTGCAATACTTCGTGTAAAATTCATTTTACTCTGGGTCCGTGAAATCACAGCTTCTATGGCTATATAGTTTGCTATTACCTGCTGCTCTATGTCCTCGCCCCCCCCCCCGGGCTAACTGTTCACCAACATCAATGTCATAAACTGAGCTGCATGCAAGCAACTTGATGTCTTTCTTGTTGTTTGATGTCCCCCATGGTTTAATACGATTTGTCACACAGTGCCCTGCCACACTCAAACACACACAAGTCAGGAAATCATGGTTGAATCCCTAAACTGTTTTTTTAAAGAAAACATTGAAGAGGAAAGAAACAACTACCTACTCATCAAATTACGCGCTAACAGAAATTCAACTCACCTCTTCTTCGAGTGATCCGAAGGAATTGTAGACAGAACACCAGATTTGTGAGCAGAGAAAGAGCCAACAAAGCCATGAATCCGAGGACAACATGCACGTTGGTAGAGACAAAGGCTGAAAATGCAAAATTTGATACACACTATAAGAAAATCTCACGTACACTCAGAAATTACACGGTTCACACTTCTTTACTCAACAGCTTTACTGAAATTTCAAGTTTAAACTTCCAAAACCTTGTACTCTGGCGTGAGTTGATTCTGGTTTCTGTCTCTCGGGTGCTTATCAGATGTACCCAGGAGGAAGGCATTACTCAAAGAGTTTACAGTTAAGGAAACCGGGGACTTAAAGACAGAGAGACCATATAAGTTAGACGTGGGGATGATGATGTGGGGATGTACATGATTGCTACTAGTGACGACCATCTGCGAACTACCTTGACCTGATGAGAGATTAGTATTCATAAATCCGACAAACTTTTACGTCTCCACCACTGTACACTGCGTTGGAAGACATATAAGACTGTTGTCACTTCAAAACTGAAGTACATTGCTCAGTTTTGGCGGAATTCAATCACATGTTTGCTCTCCGATATGATCAATTTACTAATGTAAACAAATGTAACTAACTGAAAGCATCTAAACCGGACCCCTTACCATCGAATTAGAAACCGTGATGATTCATTTATCACAAATCAAGGTACTGAATTCATTGTTTAAAGCAGATAAGCTCCTCCCACGCTTTGGAATAGTATGATTAAAATGATTTCTTGCATAACGGGTTCAAACTTCTTCTTATTTTTGGGTGAGGTGGGATCGGGAAGGACTGGTGTTTTCACTCACTGAGGAAAGAATAAGCACGTCCACTAGATTGGCTCGCTTTTCCATCTAGCAATCGGTCGCCTTTGTCGGTACCATTTACCATTGATCTCGCCGTTGACCAAGCATCGTCTTTTGTTAATGGTTTGGATTTGTTTTCCCCCGAGCCAGGCACCAATGGCGTGTTTGAACCTGACCGATGGACGTCAACAGGACCGAAATTCCCATGGATTGTATCAGGTGCATTAGATGCCGCCATTCTGTAGCTGATCGATTTTATCACAGACAATGTTGCGGCTGTTTCTGGTGTGCTAATAGCCATGGTGGTAGATTCATCTGTAGATGTGGGAGTGGGAGTTGTTGGGGTGGTGGTGGTAGTCGTGGTTGTTGTGGTTGTTGTTGTACTGATTGTTGTTGGTCGCTCTGCAACCAAATGAATCCTCTCGCTTTCCGATCCGGCAAAAAAACAAAACCAGCTCCCGGTGATATTTTGGTCGTACTGGTCCAACTGATACTCAAATCGTCTAACAAATCCACCGGAAGAAGTTGGCTCTGTCTGTCTTGCGGTGCATGAAACACCGGCCAGACTGGCTTCTTGTACGCACCCGGTCGGTTCACAAATACGTTTACAATTTTCAAAACAACGCGGTTGCATCAGTGGACAAACCAAGTGAACATTGTGAGCCAGTTGCATTGATTCAACTTCACAAATCACAGACCACCGATCCCCGTCCATCTGGGTGTAGATACGCACTTCTGGTTGAAAGGTGTGCTCTGCGCGTTGACTGGACTGTGCCCCGGGACCGCGAGTTGTACGAGCAGCGGCCAGCATAAACTGTGACAGTTCATTCTGTTGTTGTTCCAGGGCCAGTTTCAAGCCCAGCAGAGAAACGAGCTCCGGTTCTTGAAGTTTATCCGGTGGAAGTGGAAGATTTCCTTTGAACGGGAAATGCATCAAAGTGAGATAGAGATTAGAACGAATGACTGATCAAGTAAAAATGTAATTTTTATCTCATTTATGTCAAATTGTTGTGAACCACAAAGCCATGTATGGTTCAACAACAACAACAAAATCAAAAGCAACAACCATTCTAACGATTCATCACTTTAATACCACATCCCTGTTGTCCCTTTTCGCGTATCACATTGCATTCACAGTACATTTTAATCCACATATTATCTGGCGTGCTTCCGGTTGAAATATTGGCAGAGTTACCGACTGGTCTCCTTCTTGATCGGAACCCACCCGATTTTTGTCAGGATTTTTTAGAAGAATAAAATTTGGAAGGCTCGTGATGTGTATTGCAAGACATCTGAAGGCACTCCTTCTCGAAATAAAACGGCAAGAATGCTATCATCATGAGTCGAATTGGGGGTCATTTTTGCCTAAATTTGTGCTATACTTACTCAAATTCAACTGGATGACTCGGGGCCTCGGAGTGACACATACTCGCAAGACTATCTTTCATGTGAATTGGACAAACTCCAGGTAAGGAGACTGTTTTGAATGTAATCAGAAAAAAACGGGAAACGTCAACTGACTCGTTACAGTGTTTGTACGCTCTACATTCATATGTTAGTGTCATAACATGTTATTCAACCATTTATCTCTGGTCATACAGAAATCATTCAATCTTTTCCTACTGCACTGCTTTTTTCTATTTATCAACTCCGAAGTTATTTGCAATCACAGTGCTCCCTCTGTCGAGGATCAGTTGGCCCGCGTATCAAATCATCGTATCAGTAAGACAACGTTCGGGAGTGTGGAACCCGGGACTCCCATGACAAGTGTCATGGGTCAGCCCATGAGTGATCACACCCGGGTATTTTGTAAAATTTTTGCACACATGACTCATTCTGGCGCCAAAGTCAAACACCGTCGTACACGTGTTTGTGTGTGTGTGTGTGTGTGAACAGTGTCTGGGTTCACCCAAAGCCGCCAGATCATTCTAGACAGATGAAATCATACAAAAAGCAATCAAAAATTGCCCCGAGTGTTTATAGATCATTTTTGAAGAAACGAAAGTGATGATAGCAGATGCCAAATTGATGCTGATTCCGCCCACGGGTTGTTCGGGACGGAATTGGTTAGATGCATTGTTTTTCAACTAAAATAAGTCTTGCAGATTATATATATATATATTCACCACAACAACCTCGTTTGCATCAATGGGTAAATTTGTTTGAACAGCTCTTTCAGAACCAGTCTGTTAGTGAATCAACTAACGGGATTTAAGCGTCTTCGTGAAATATTTTACAATCAGAACCAGAAAGAGCTGTCCAACCAAATTTATCCGGTATTTCAAATGAGGTTATTGTGACGAAAATATACTCCCTGGGTAAAAGTATATGAATTAATTGACAAAAGATTACCGGATAAGCATGCCTGACAAGCGGTAAGAACCGCGAAACCGATCGTATACTTCCAGGGAAATTTTGTCCAGTCATTCATACACTACTTATTGTTATATATTCCCGAATCGTATAAGTAAAAGCAAGCAAACGCACAATGCTTGGCCTATAAAAGATATGCTTGAACCAATTGCCATCGATCAGCAGGAAAACTTATTGAAATACGGACCACTTATGTTTTTGTATTCGCGTTGCATTTTCCTAATCGTATCTGAGCTTAATAATTCTTAAAATACGCACCACTACGCTACTGATATCAGTCAGCGTTGCACGTCAAACGAAATCGAAAAAAGCATTGTTTAAGCGAATAGGCTCAACCGATAAGGAAGAAGCACCATTTTGGATTTAAAGATTTCGGTAGCAGAAAGATCATTCAACATCCAATCAGAAACTGTACGATTTAGTTTCTTATTCTCTAGTTCCACACTGGCTAAACCGATGGTATAACCATTTTTTCTGCCCATTTTGTCTGATTTAGGTAACAGGTATGTGCAGCTATTTGTCCAATACTGATGGAATCTTTAACCTTCTTTCCTTGTGGTGCACAAATAAGTTGTTTGTACACTGAAAATTTGCACTTTACTAAATCAGAGTTTGTTCCTGGAAGCTGCAGCCTAGAATCGCGTAGACGTGATCCGTACAATTGACAATAACGCTATTTTCTGTTCATTTTGATCATTCAATCAGTTTTCTTTGAATTTTATTGGATGTTTATTACTTTTTCCAGAACTGTTTGCAGTCTCGGCGGATTAGCATATCTTATATAATTTGTTTATAGCATGATTGCACAACAAGAAGAAGGTAACATGCCAAACCAGTTTCTCTTCAGTGTTTCAAACATACGACAAAATAATTCAATCCAGATAAATAATAACAGATAGAGATTGAGATGGACGGGCAAATCGGCTGCGTTTTGACATCAGTAGGTCTTAGATGTTTCTCCCGTAGAATATTGGGCTTTTTCGGAAGAGGACTGTCACGTGTTTGGTTAGGAAGTGATTACCAAATGAGATACAATAATGTGATAATTCAGCCCATCTTCCATTTCCCCGCGGACCCCAACTGTAATTGGTCCCAGATATTACGAAACACGGGTAATGAGTTGGTTTCACACTTTGTGTTCTCATCATCTGTTCATTGGAACTGTTTGGATATACGTCAGAGTACAAAAACCAGTTCTACCAAACACTTCATGCATCACCAGATAACGAGCAAGAACCGCCAATTGAATTCTGACAACTCAGTAGCCCCGGTCGGCCGCCCAAACTCTACGTACAGCTTACGCGCGCGCTCTGTCTGTGCAGCCACGGGGCCACACCGATGGCGCTGATTTGATTTACAAGAGGGATCATCACTTATCCACAACCAACTCTTGCATATGGAACCTGCCCTGGTAGGTTTTTTCTGAGAATCCGAGGAAATCTAGTGAATGAGCCGCAAACCTGAGAGACTACGATTGAAACAAAGCTGTTGGACAATTAAAGTGAGAGGAAATGAGTCCGTGTCGAGTTGACTGAGGTTAAACGCATCTAACTGACAACATTTGATGCAGAATCACCGCAATGTATTCTTTCGAGACTCGTTCAATTCAACTCCTTTTCCTGAGCTGCTAATTGGGTTTTTATCGCATAAAAGCTAGATATAAGCTTCATAGAAGCACAAGAACGGTTTTTTAGTCCTTTCCGCTCGTCAGGTAAGCGTAGCTGGCCATTCTCATACTTGAACCGCCGATGTGAATTACGCAATGCACCACCAGATACATAATAACCACAATGATTATTTGAAACTTGTTCATCAGAAAATCCACTGTCCGAGCTGATAATGAGGTGTGCATGGTATAATTAACGTCGGTAGTTCAAGTATAAGAATGACCCTTCAGAAGATTACCGGATACGCATACCTGAAAAGCGGCAAGGACCCCAAAACTGGTCGTATGCTTCAAAGAAATTTCATCCAGTCATTCACATACCACTCATTATAAAGAGCAATGATAGAATGTTTGAATTGTAATATTCAACTTGATTTAGTGTTGTACATGTAACAAGATGGGCGCATATTGCGTGACTTCGTAGGTCAGCTGGTTGATCCTGTGCTTTACAGAAAAGGTGGAGCGGGTTCATGCAGGGATTTAATCCCACAATAGCTGCTGACTTTTTCATAGTTCAAATATAAAATTATTATTCAAATGAGGGGGAGATGTTTGTGATAACCGGCAAAGAGCACCGAGACAGCTGTTTCGTCCTGTTTGAGACTCGGCAAAAGTGCGTATTTTTTATGTGCCTTTCAGANCTCGAGCCGTAAACGTTCGAGTTGGGTCTTCAAACTCCCACCTCTGAGCTACACGGTCGACGGTTATCACCTTGTGTGAATGGCTTAATCAATTTGACGGTAGTAAGTTTGAATTAATCAATTCATCTAGTCAGAAGCATAAAGCACTCCTGACAATTTTGGGTGTGGGTTTCACTAATCCAAGCTTGATACTCTAAACAAAGCTATTATCGTCATTTCATTACTATTCACACAAACTTTGTTGATCCTGTTTGATTTGAAATAAACCAAGCAACACATTACGAGTAAAACGTATGTTGGTCATCAATTTCGCATGCTCTCAAACACCTCGAATAGGGTGGAATGTCAAAAGAATAATACCATAAGTGGACATTTCATATACTCACGGTAGGTCAAGTGCAAAAGGTTGGGTTTTGAGTAATTAACAAAAGCAATTAGAGTTGAGTGTGTGAAGAGGCTGGTAGGATTACAAGGCGCGAAAACAAAGCTTTGGGCGCGGAAACAGTTAAGAAGAGAGTGGATTGAGACTCCACTTGGAAGTCCCGTTGGTTTGCTGTTTTTATTCCATTTTCAAATTCTATGATTCTCTTTCAAAACTATAATCAAATGAATGACACTATCCATTTTGTACTCATTGCCTAAAACACTGATTTTAAGTATTTCTACCCAGGTTAACTGCAAGCACATCACGATTCAGAGAAGCATTTCGTCTAAACAGAAGAGGAAGTCTAATTTGATTCTAAACAAAATTTGATGTATAGAATTTATAGAAAATTAAATTTACAATTACAATAAACACATGGATTTGCACAATGTATCAATGGTCATTTGGTTACATGTTTAGACGTCCGTATTGCAATCAAAGTGAATTTTATAGTCCATGAAATAGGAAGCTGAAAAAGATAACATCCCTCCTTTCAACGAACAACACGGCACAGCTACAGGATAGGCGATACAGGGTGGGGGTCATTTAACAACGTGAAGCTACGGTGATTAGCCATTCACGTTGAGTGCACATGAATTGCTAGGCCTCTGTGTTTGTGTCGTAAATGACCTTAAATGTGTGGCCTGGAGTGGAGTAACGTTCCTCTTCAACTAAGCATTGTGTAATCAAAAATCAGAGTCTTTTCTGACCATTCATTGACGTTACTCTTTTATGTTATTGCAACAGGAGATGTACCTAGGTATTGATTTGTTGTTACGAAACGATAAAACATTCGTTTGCTGTAGATGTTTACATGCAAGCATTATCAACATTGATGATAGAATATTTGCCTAATTTATGCATACAAAATGATGCACGATGGGCACGTCTTATCATAAAATAATACCTGAAAGCTTCGGGAAGAGTAAAGATGTTTCCTTTTTAACTGAAGTGATTTTGAAACAAGCTCAGTTGGACGACAACCTTTTTGCTACAAATCAAACGATAAATCGCACCTAAAAAAATGCATGAAGGAGAGAATTCATACTTCCAAACGGAGGTTGAATGATGAACATTTTCATTGATTTAAAATATCACACCCTTGTGGGAAATATCTATGAATTCAAAAAGCGTAGGTAGATAGCAGGCAATGTGACTGCATGGAAATGTCACATTTGGCTTATAAATCAGTTAGTCACGTGTTAGCCTCTAAGTTTTGAATAACTTCAAAATATTCTCTATTAAAATATTTCATTAAATGTCAAATGAAAAGAAAAACTGATTTCAACTGCAGTAAAGAAGCCCAATCGGCAACACTACGTTTATGCAAACACCACAAAGTGAAGATACAGAGCATTTAGTTGCCATGTACGCGTTTAAGTTTGACATTAGTGTACATTTTTTCGTTCCATATACTAATGGCGAAATTGCATTCACCATTTTCGACATAGAGTAATCAAGGGATACACTGCAGACTCACCTATATCTTCAGCGGTCCCGACAGTCCACTGAGCAAGGAAAGATATCCATATTAATAAAATTGTCTTTTTCATGATTCCAACATGAATATTATTCACAATGTACAAATCGTCCACGGTTAATCAGTAGAATACATCATGAGGGCAAATAAGCGACGAGGGAGGGATTTTCTCTTTCAACACGTGCGGTCTATGAGATCGGTGGTCGTTTTGAATGCGCGAACCCAGCCCAGCATCTGGGGTTTCCGGTCGACTGGGCATGTGCATGGGGATTGGTGAATGTGAACTGCTGTGGGGTGGACGTATCCCGGTTGTGTCGTGTCCTGATTGGTCCTTTGGACAACCTGACGTCATTGGATTCCCATTGATATATAGATAGTAGAAATGGTGGTCTCCCCTCTAGAAATGGCGCACATTTAAATATATGTTTATTAATCATCAGATGTTTGACACGTGTTTCGCCAGTTGGAAAAGCATGACTCAATCTAACTAGTGGGGATAGAAAATCGTTCTGTGTAAGAACATTAAAGCATTTGCAAAGAACGTTGAGTGCATTTAGCTGTTTTCTGTATTTCTTCGGTGTAAGGTGCATTGTGGGATAACCAGAATGTGTGTCGGTAAAATTGGTCAGTCCTATAGATAAAAAAACCCGTAATGTTTTACGTCAGGAAACGGCATAATTTTATCCTGATTCCCACCTTTGGTGGGAAAGGAATATAACCGTTTTTGTGTCTGAAATTATAATAAAGACGCTGAATTCTTTGTTTCTCAACAAGTTTAATGTGTATAACTGCCGACGAGATTTTTGATTGATAAAATGCTGAGGGAACAATCAATTTAGCAGGCCGTCTCGCAGTACATGTGTTCAGCCTGGAAATCACAAACACAATAGACGAAAACAATGCTGTGCTTGACCGAAAACCTATCATGTTCGGTAAACGTCAACCGTGAATTTAAAACAACCCAAATCGAGCCCCATTCGCGTTTACAAGGTCAAAATTGCACAACAGGGATAAATGAACTTATTCATTCTGACTATTCTGATTGGACAAGTAAGTTCGAGCTCTATTCGCAACAGGCATCATATATATATATATATAGTAGTCCTTCGGTGCGGTGTTTCGTGCTAAAATCACAATTGTAGAACAGAACATATCGATTTAGGGGGTATACTTCAGAGATAATTCTTGTGGGTCAGAACAAACAATTCGTTCGAAAAGTAAATTGTTATGGATTTGAGATTTCTCTTTCAAAACATTTATCTGGTTATTAGTATTTGAGGGTACGCAGTACACTACGAGTGCGAGGTGCAGATAACCGGGTAAGGAAAACTTCAACTATAATCCGCTGGGAACATTGTTGAATTATTGCAACTTACATAAAACAAATTATCAACACAGCGAAGCGCAGCTCACAAGTCATCAGAGGACCACTGTACTCGGACTGTCGTAAGGATGGAACTCAGTCGATCTCACTGGAGGGCGATGATTTTCTACCACTACAAATGTAGTCTGAATCAAAAGTCGAGTTTTGCTCGTTTGCCAGCTGCCTTTAGTGATTGCGCGCCTTCAAGAAGCACTGTGTTCTCAAAGGTTGAGCGCATGATGCGTGAACTCCGATACGAGCCGGTAACAGCTTCAGTGGAAGCCTTCATTGAATTGATCAACGGGTTACTCGCCTCAGCATGGTTCCGCTGTTTCACCAAATGGTTCGAGCCCTTGAAACTTTGTCTGGATGAATGCTGGGGGAGAATACTTGGAGAAAATGTAATGTTTATGTTTGTGTATGGAAAAAAATCTTTTTATGCATCCGGAAACATTTTTCTCCATCCTCGTGTTGTTGAACATTTAGGTGTGGTTAGAAGGCATTTGGCGGAAAATCCACAATAAGCCAAAGGAAAAAGTACTTTAAAAGTGACAGATTCACATTCGCCATCCCACGTGTAGGTAATCAGCACAAAACATTAAACCTGCCCTGAACAGTAACTCGAATTCAAATCGAAAACCTGGCAACTTGTGCCTTGAAAGCGAAAATCGCGAAATGTGCAGTGGTTCAAAATTGGGTATCAATCAGAGCACACAACGTTAAAATCGGTTGACGATAGTATTCAACACTTCAACGATTCATAAAATAGCTGATAATTGAAATTCGGACAATAATTGAGACAGTCAAACATTTAATCCAGCTTTATGAAGTCTGGCTGGTCTATCGCACAGTGGCCGCCATAGGATGACTTGCAAACGTTTGAGCACTGGATTTCAGTGAATCCAGGCTTAAGTAAGAAACAATAAATTTCTGTTTCGCTTTTAGCTTCTGTCAAGTTAAAACAGCATTCCACAGAATGTGTTGTTTACCGTGTGTCCAAAGTTGCGATTAGTGTTTTTTGTTTGACAATTACCGTAGCGAGGTAAGGTGAAATCATCAAGTAAATTTGTGTTCTCATACAATGGGTTAGCAGCCAATCTGTCCATGTAAAAATCTAACTAGCCGTCGAGGATAAAGCACTCTTTTGTTCTGAAATCAAAACAGTTTTCAGTGCTTTAATGATTCAAAGAACACTTTTATATTTGTAGGTTAATTGTTCCGACGGTGCATTGATTTCCCTCGGATATTATCACTCTTTTTCTATATTCCTTTGAGTTTAATTCCCGTGGCATTTGGAGGGGAAAAGTTTGAGGAGACCCAAATGTACTGAAAGTTGTGGAAAACAACCCCGATATGGATTCTGTATAATAATTTGAATAAAAACTTTGTGTACAGCGGCTAACTGAGAATAGCAAGACAGCTTGATAAAAATGTGTGGGCGGGACAGATTATTCAACATATATTTGTTTCTGGTTATGGGTAATCTCTAAAATTGTTCTTGCGTTGACTGGTATTCGATTCTCGACAAGAATCGACTTCTTGCAAACGACATTCAGTTTGACTGGCGTATATCTGAGGATTAACTTGTCATTTATATGATTTTGTTTTGTTAGAGCAAGAATCACTGATTCAAATGGATTAACGTAGACCCAAACATTTTTGATTCCGACTAAGAAATGTGAATTCACCGACAAACACTCCACGAGATCGCAAAACTGAAACGTTTGGATGGAATGGCGACAGACCCTACTAGGAAAGTAAAACACAAACAGATTAAGTTGAAACGCACATACTATCCACGCCTGTTCCGAAACACAAACACTGTTTTTTAACATGCAACGTAACAAATAGATGCAATACGCATTTTTAAGAATATGCCTTAGGCCCCTTGCTAGAATGCAACGAGCCAACACACAGGGAACGGCTCTCGTTTTTCCGCTACGGAGATGCAAACTGAGGAACGGTGAGACGCTCAATCACAAACAGACTGCATGGGGAGATACCAACGAAGAATGCGGATGAGCGAGGGTAGCAGGATTAAAACATAAAACACGTGAATCCATGCAACGAAGAGATTTGATTTAAAATCTGATGAAAGGGTTCCCAGAGAAGGATCAGGAACAACCCGAGTAGCTAGCAGTCAGTAGTATTGTTTTTTCTGTTTCCGTCACCTATCGCTTGTGTAATTTACAGTGCAGTGTATCTGTTCTGTTTCAATCAACGAAATTTAGTTTATAATTTTAATGCAATTTATAATGTAAAAACAAAGTCATTGGATAAGTCAAATGATTGTTTACATTCTTTTTTACTTCCAATTATGGAATATTGATAGAACTCAGATCCTTACAAGCATGTTTGGTTAGCCACAACGAGATAAAATCAAAAAACAATAATTTTCGCTTGACGAGGTTTCGACCCTCTTGGAAGACCTTTTTCAAGACAGTTAGCAAGCGAACATTAAACAAAATCTTTGAGAGAAACCTTATCAATTAGAGATGCTTTTGATTGGTCTAGGGGAAGGAAAAATTGAGTTGTGTGTTGTAATAAATGAGATCATGGAGTTTTTGAATGAAATAAGAGGTCAAAGAGCTAAGATGACATCATAGAAGATGGGAGATTAGTCTGTGAGCAGTTGTATTGCGCGGCGAGATTTAATGTTGCGGGTTAGTATGCATGTGTGTGTGTGGGCGGTTGGCTGTGCAACTGGTATCATGCCAGTGAACTGATAATTGGGGGCCGTCCGATCGACTGACACAACGTGGATCACTGTTGACGAACAATGACTCCGAAATTACTGGTGTTCTATATGACCTGAAACCTTGTTTCAGAACAATCGATTTTTCGAAGTCTATAGAGTGTCCATCAGAAATGGAATGTAGAGTGATAGCTGAGTCCCTCTCAAGAGTCCTAAGTTCTAATGCATTTCTCGGAGGGTGTTTGGACTTCCTGTCAAAGAACTTTTTACAAGCCTTTTTTCCGGATCCTCAATTGCTACTGACTTCAGTTGCTATGGGTCAGCCGGTTGCGTAATGGGGCTGGGACGTTTTGCCTATGCTACTTTTGAATAATGCAATAATAGGCATAAAGGATCGGAGGCAAACCTTTATTTTACAAATAGTGAACTCATATTTTGATTTGATTTTTTTTGATCGCAGTTTTTGCCTGAATGACTATTAGAGGATGTCTCTATCGAACTTGAATCTACGGATAAACCTATCGGATTGGCATAATTCCATGCTTTTCCTCTGGGACAAGTGTGAAAATTTGTTTTCCACCAGAATGTGCTTGATGCTACAGAATCAGGTCCTTTTGGATACAAGCAACTTGAAAACCATACACAAAAAGCAGATTAAAATTATTTTTCCCAAAGTAATAATTATACCATACAGATGTACGTTTTCTACTCACGTCTGAGGTTCGACGGTGTGGCAAACAAATCATGGTACTATAAGCTTTATGAAAAATACAACGAAGTTCCATGAGTTGCAAGTGGGTCAGATATAGCCCATTGGTTCAGACCAAGGCAAGTGAATACTCTTAAAGAATGTAAAACCACAGCCGTCTGCTAGCCAAAGCCTGCTCCGCAAAGCATCGGGTTTGTGTGTGAAAACCGCGTTCGTTCTCTTGGAGGTCAGTGTCAATTTCTTGGGACATTTGCCCTTTGGACGGGGTCAATCATCCAAGGTTCCCAAAACAGCTCAATATTCAAC